CGCGCCTGTGCACATGGGCATCTGAGGTCAGAGCTCCTCACCATAGGCCGGGCTTCCTCCCGGGGCACCCCGATGACCTTCATCTTGCCCCCACTGGTGCTCCGGTCTCGAATTTTGGCAAAGTGCTTCTGCAGGCACCTGCGGTCATGGGCACTGCAAGGGCTGAAGCTGTTGTTGGGGTGGTCACCCTCATCCTTGTCTGCAGGCAGGCCAAGATGGGGAGAGGTAAGCACCAAGAAAGGACAGGGTAGCATATCAACCCAACCTCCCACCTGCTTTCTTCTTAGGGATTCTTCAGTCTGGCACAGGGGAAGAATGGGGGGTCAGGGGGCAGGAAGAAGTGCAAGCAGCACCCCGATTCCCCTGGATCTCTTCAGGCAAATATTCCTCTTGAAGTCCTTGACTTGTCCCTCACCCCACCCAGTCCAGCCCTCAGATGAGTCACCAGCTACAGCTGCCCAGACAGCAGGAGGGTCCCCTGGGCCCTGCAGGGAGGTCTGAGGCAGGCAGGGGGGCCCCCTGCCTGATTTTGTCTCCCTCCAGTCAGCTCCTTTTACCATCCCCCTCTCCATCTGTCTCCTTTCCTACTTTTTTCAGGTCTGGCTGTGCCAGGCAGGGGATCCCCAGAGCTATCAGCTCTGCTGACCCTCTTCCAAATGGCCAAAATCAAAGTTTCCATGAGTGATGAGAAATCTGGCCCAAAAGGCTCTCCTCATTGGCCGGATGGGAGAGAAACGGGAATGCGTGTGTATGCCTGCATGTGAAAGTGTGTGTATGAGCATGTGTGTATGCGTGTGCTCGTGCACACACACACACATGCTTCTATAATGTTCTGTGTGGCTCCAAGACCAAAAGATAAATCTCCAGATCCCTTCAGTCCCCCACCCTTAGACATCAGACCCCATCCAAAGTCCATGCCTGTTGCTCAGAGCCAGGGCACTAGGGATACGGAGATGGGGGTAGTGAGGCTGGAGCAAACCCCCTCCCTGGGATCTCCTGAAGACTCTCTCTGAACTCAAACAAAAAACACACAATCCAGAAGTCCCAAAACCGTAAGTGCTGCTCCTCCCTCCAGGCAGCCAAAACCGGAATACAAGGCTGAGCTGGAGAAAGAGGTTGCAAGATCTCTCAGTGCGATCAGAGCCACCTCTGAAATGCTCAGGCTTGGCAGCTCGCTGCCGGCCTGAGTGCAAAGCCCCTGCCAGCATTCCAGATGTTGGCAGCCAGACAGAAGGTTACATCTGGTTTGCGTCAGGCTTTTTTTTTTTTCCTGAGGAGTTAGCAGGTTCCTCCATGCATGGCAGCAGTCCCAGAGCTGCCTCTGGGTCAAATGGTATTTTTCCGCCTAGCCAAAGTGAGTGGGGGCTTAGTTCTCTTTTTATTCTCCTATTTCTGGGGGTGTAGAGGGAAGCATGTGGATAAAAGGAAACCAGGCAAGGAAGAAATCGAGACCCTCAGAAAGTCTTTGTCAACATTCCACACCAAAGGTTATTTATAAAATTGAGTCACCAAGGATGGGAAGAAGGCTTTGTCACGAGTGGAGGGCTGGCTTAGAAAGAAGAAAATCAAAGGGAAGAAATAAATGGAGCAGATAGATATACTCCAACCTTCTGCATATTTAACATCCCAAGGACAGTCCAGAAGGTTCTCCTGACCCAGAGATGACACCAAGTTCCTGAAGGTCGGCCAAGGAGAAGGCACTATAGCCAGGCCTTCCAGCTGATGGGGGTGGTAAAAGAAGGGGCCGATATATTTCAGAAGACCAGGGTTGTGCGAAGGGGGCCATAAGATGAACCAGAGAAAAGATCTGGGATCTAGGCTCCTCCCTTAAGACCCTCCCAAGGAGTCTTTTAGCTAAAAAGGCCCAGGCTGGACAGTGACCATCCCTCCACGTCCACTTTGCACAAAGGCATGCGACTTGTGGACGGAGCCGGAGAAATGGAGAGAACAAGGAAATGGAAGACCTACAAGAATTAGAGCCAAATCGTGGATCGACAGAGGCTGAGCTGAGACGTCAACAAAGGCACTGCCATGTTACCTGGGAAAGGCTGGAAGGGGTCACAGGGACTTGTCTGCCACAGCCCACAACACCAACTCGAGAGGGGCCCTTCCACCCTGGGAAGGTTTTGTTGTCTTTCTTTGCACGACCATAAAGGAAAGCACTACTTTGCACAGGGACGCTTATTCCTCTTGGTAAACGGGCAGAATGTTCTCAGGTTCGAGGAGTAAGGAAGAGTTTTCTTTTTTTTTTTTTTTAACTGAGCCATCCTGCTACCTGTTGGCAGCTCAGCGGCTGCTCAGCTCGGGCTGGACCTGAACCGCTGTGGCTCAGAGCTCAAACTCCTGAGCGAGCTCTTAACCCACTGAGCCACTCGGCCGGCCCTAAGAGTTTTCTAATGAACGGGGCTGCCTCCAGAGACAGAGAGCCCCGCGCCCTGGAGGTATGGAGTATCTGAGTGGTTGAGGCCTCAAGAGTCTAGAGAGATCTGAAATACAAGTTCAACGCAACCAGGCTTTTCCAATGTTGAATTTCTATGAGTTGAAGTTCACAAATGACTAAGGCTTATGGTATTATTATGGTATTATGGTATATTATGGTATTATAAGGCTTATGGATATTTGGGATGTTTATCCCTTACCTTAGGAGGTACTGGGTCTGCTCACAGAAACCTGGGGTTACCTGGAGCCTGCAAGCATAGTTTATGCTCTTGTGTTGGTAGGACCCCGAGTCACATAGAGGAGGTTGTCTGGGGGAGCTGAGCAGGCAGCATGCCTGGCCTCCCCTTTTCGGTTTCCCCACTGACCAGCACACTTGTCCCAGACTTGGTACACCAGACTTGGGTGTAAGCTTAAGAGTAGAACCCACCAAGACAGGGAGTAGCTCCTTACTTACTCTCATGGGGACATAAGTCCACAGAATATATCCGTATCTGACCACTCAGACACAGACAGGCCGGGACTCAAGAATCACAAATATACACAAACAATCACGTGTCCAGACACACACTCATCCACGCGTTCATACCCACATGCGCTTGGCCCTCTGACCCGGCCCCGGCCAGAGACACAGACCTGAGGCAGGACACACTGGTTGTACCCTGGCTTGTTGACTTTCCGTGTAATCTGTAACTTTTCCTTGCCCAGCCTCAGACTGAGGACCCATCCCAGGAGCCACCCCTAGGCACTGGGTTTGGGGGGGTGAGGGCTGTAGCCTTGGGTCTCTGGAAAACGTTAACCTTCCCATCTGCAAAACTGGCTAACTACTTGCTACTCCCCTGCTCCTGCCCGAGCTCCACCCACCCAGTGCTGTTCAACCAGGTGGCGCCCTCTGGAAAACCTCAATCCTGGTGGGTTCCCCTCTGAGCGGGAGCCGGAATCCGCCCTAGGCCCCCTAAAAGTTCTGATTTCCTGGATTCCAAAAGGTTTGTTTGGGAGGCAGGGCTTCCAAGGTAGGCCAGGTGGTCTCCTTCAGCCCCTGCTTGGAGCGATGCCAGTGACATGCAGCCACAAGGGAAAGCTTTTCTTTTGCTCCAGCAACACAGGAAGGGAAAACATCCACAGAAAGAAAAGATTTCGCATCTTTGGCACCACTGGCTGCAAAGTTCATAGTCAAAGTTAGAGGAGTTTCTCTTTCTCGCTGCCTTATTTCATCTCCATGATTTCTCCTCCACTCAAAGACACCAAGGGTGAGGCTGTGAGGCGGGTGGGCCCAGTCACCTAGACACAGAAGTTTCAGGCATGACCGGGAGGGTCACCCACCTACCCTGAAAGAAAGACCTTTTCCCTCTTCCCCTGGACTCTTGCTGGAGAAGCCAAGACCACCATGCTGGGTACTGGGCCCTTTCTTTGAGCTCTGGCTCAACGGGTGTCCCCCTCACTGTTGTGACATGCTGCCGACCTCAAGAGTCAGAGAGAAAGACGGCTGGCCCGTTCTTCCCATGTTTACAGCAGCAAAAGACACCAAAGGCCACCCTACCCCTCTCAACTCCCCTGAGTGCCACCCTAGCTTTCCTCACTTGCCCTACCGTCCCCCAAAGTCCCAACATCAGAGGCGGATTTAAACTTCAACTGAAATCTGTTCAGCTTCCTCTTCACCACCATCCTCATCATTGCTCCAGTTTATTGAGCTCTTACTCCACGCCAGACCCCCCAACCCTGTGAGGCAGGTCCTATGGTCATTCCCTGTTTACAGATGAGGAGATGAAGTAGACTGAGTGGGCGGGGGTGGGGGTGGGGGAGGAGGAAAGACTTATCTCTGCAGCAACTCTGTCTTTAAATGGAAAGACTCCTGATACCCGAGGCACCAATAACTCTGGCCTTGCCAATGCTAAAGAAAAAGTGTTCAGCGGCCATGCTCCTCCCCCCCCCCTCCCCCGAGGCACAGAATTTCTGGGAAGGCCCTGTTCCCATGACATGACTGGATTCCCAGTACTGAAGTAGGGGGGACAGTATTTGCTGCGTTGACTAAAAATTAACCCGGCCTGCATGTTCCCTAACCCTGTCCCAGAGGGACCCAGAGCACAGTTTAGGAACTCCTCAGTCCAAACGCTGATCCCACTGTCCACTCCCCCAGATTCCATGAGTCGAGGGTCAGTCCACTTATGCAGAATTGTGGACTGCTGACGCACAGGTCCAGTCCCACCCCCACCTCTGGTGGCCTCAGAGGTGTTAATCCACAACATTTTCTGGCTTGGAAAGCTGGGACAGGAAGGTGGGGGTGGTTAGGCTGGAGATGGAAGGGGGAGACCTGCCACTGAGGAAAATAATAGACAGCTGGACCATAGCAGTTCAAGGGAGGGGGCACGTCAAGTGGCTGCCCTCCCCCAGTCACCTGCGGAAGCTCAGCTCCAAGAGGAAAAGACAGAAAAAAGAGCCTGATCCCTCTGCCAAACAAGAGGCGTAGATCTCCAAGCTCTGGAGCCTCGGAGGGACAGTGGCCTATTGACAGTGGAAGGCTAAAGAGAAGAGCAGGGATAGGCGCCAAGCCCTGGACACCTTGTCTCACCAGAGACCCTGCAGGGCTGCTGCACAACTCTAGGGGGAGCCTTTCACCTGGTGCACTGTGGCCCAGGCTGTGTCAGGAGTGCTCCTGTGATGACTGGGAGGTAAGAGGGCATGGACACAGCTTGCCAAGTAGGCACGTAGTCTCCCCCAGGGTCCTCCAGGCTTCCCCTTTCCCTCTCCAGATAGCTGCAGGCACTGCCTGGGTTGCATGGGTGGAGGACAAAGCAAGCAAGGAGGGGGGAGGGGCGTTAGAGACCTGGGCCCTGTAACCCAAAGGGGACCTAAAGTCGCCTTTGGAGGCTGGTTTGCATAACATCCAATCACGAACTGTCTGTGCCATGCCCGCCCAAAGCTCCTAGGGAAACAGATTTTTCTCCACTACAGGATGGGGTGTTTCTACCCGGCCAAGGGAAAATGGGTGCCCTAGACCCTCTGAGGGCTCTTCTTCCCCATGTTCAAGTTGGTGAGAGAGGAGGAGGCTACCAGCCATCCTCATCTGGTGCCAGATACCCGCTGGCCAGTGGAGGAGGGAGATAACAAAAGGAATGTGGTCCTGTTATACCCAGGGAGCCGAAAGGCCCAGCCCTCACTCCTAGGCTGGTCTGGTACTAGTACCCCTCCTCTCCCACTGGCACTGGCATCTCTGCCCCTAGGATCAGAGACTTAATCCCCCAGGACCCCCTCCCCCCTTCCCAGATGTGCTGGGCGCCAGGCTGGCATTTCTTCTAGAATGTTTTCTGCTGACCCATCTCTGGCTGCCCAGGAGCAGGAAGGGCAGAGAGGCCTGAGGCCCAGACCCCTGGGGTCCACCTCCTTCCTGTTTTCCCTGCATCCTGCTCTCCTCTGGCCAGCAAGCTGCAGAGGATTGAGGAAGTGGAGCCGTCTGGGACCCAGAGCAGGAAGCTTGGGGCCGGAGTCCCAGCATCCGGACCACAACAATGGAAGCTTCAAGCACCAGGAAAAGGGACAGGGACAGACACAGACAGCGGCACAGGGAGAGCAAAACAGAGTCAGGAGGGAACAAGACAGAGAGGCAGACAAACAGAAAGGCAGAGAGAGGGAGAGAGATTCCAAAAGTAACAGAAAGACAGGAACAAAGACAGAGAAACAGTGACACACAGAAAAAGCAACAGAAAGAGACCAGGATGAAAGTGAGAGAAGCAGGGCAACAGAAACAGAAAAAGGGAATGAAATAGAGAAAGAGGAAAACACTGATAATGGGCAGAAGATACAAAGGGGGGAAAAAAACCTCAAGAATGCTGTTAGTGAAACTAGAGGTCGAAAGACGCAGCGGGAAAGAACAAAGAATAAAAGAAAAAAGGAAAGAGACTGAGGAAGATTATAAGGAGAAACTGAGAGGCTCACTGAGAAATGGAAAAAGAGAAAAGTGTAAGAACGGATTTAGGGCAAAGGGCCTTCTAAGCCTGTCTCCCTCTCTTTCTCTTCTCTGCCCCCTATCTCACACCCGTTAGGTTTCTGCAGCTCTGGTCTGGGAGCCAAGACTTGCTTGTTTCTGCCACCTCCAATGGCACCTGCCAAAAGAAAGGAGCGGGGGTGCCCAGGCCTGGCACAGAGACCCCTGTCTTCCCAATAGCTCTCAAACAGCTAGGTGAGCTGGCCTGGGGCTTTGGGGAAGGGCAACTTTTATGCCCCCACCACCAAAACCCCTCTAATTTGCATATCCACTCCATCCACCTCAATGCCAAAAGCCCAAGCCCTGGCTTCTCAGGGCTTCCCTGGGGTTTCACCTGTGGCCAGGGTGAGGGGAGGTCCCTGGATCAGGAACAGGAAGCCCCACCACCACCACCCTCCAGTTATCTGGCTGTGCAAGTGCAGGCTGCAGGCTGGGCTCAGGTCACTTAATTGTCCACACCTGCACCAGCAGCCAAGACCACTTCTTCCCAAACAGGCCCCCTTGGCAGGTCTGAGATGGAGTAATGGGACAGAGTCCTCCTTGGTGGTTGGTGGTGGCAACAGGCTGCTAGGCACTCCATAGCAGTTTCTTTGACTGAGCCTGTCCCATGCCAATAGGGCCCTGCCACGTACCTGCCTTCTCCTTAACTCACAGGGGATTTTCAAGGGCCTTTCAGGCCAGCCCAACTGGGGAAGGGGCTTCTGGAAGGGGAGCACATCAGGGAGGGCGTGCAAGGGCAGGGGCACCTTACCAGAGGGCTGCAGGCTTTCCTGGATGGCCTCGATCTCCGCCAGGTCCATGCACACGCCTTGCCCATGCATCAGCGTATGCAGGGGCTTCTCCACCCCCCGGGGCGGGTAGCAGCGCAGACCTGAGCCGCAGCGGGGGGTGTACACCCCGCAGGGCATCCCCTTGCCCAGGGCGCAAGTGGCGCAACAGCCGCAGCCGGGCTCCCGCACCAGCTCCTCGCAGCCCACGGGGGGGCGGCAGCGCGCCAGCTTCTCCTCGGAGCAGGGCGGGCAGTGGATGGCTTCGTCGCCCAGGCTCGGCCCGGGCCCGGCGGCCAGCAGCAGCGCGGCCACGAGGCAGAGGGGCAGCATGACCGGGCGAGGACGGGGCGCGGGCGCGGGGCGCGGGCGGAGGGTGCGGGCGCGTGGGCTGGCAGCAGGGGGCACAGGGAGGCAGCACCCGGCGCGCCTGGAGAACCCGACCCGGAGACCGCAGGGAGACGGGGCGGTCCCGCTGGCGGACAGGGACGAAACCAGGGAAGTTAGCAAGCAGGATGCAGGGGAACGAGCCTGGCCGCCGAGGCGCTGCGCCGCATCCTCGGCCGGGCCCAGGCGGCGGGCAGCAGGGGGACAGGGGGCTGAGCGACTGCCCCGGACAAGCTCCCCCGGACTTTATACCGGCCCCTAGCCACACCCCCAGCGCCTTCCCAGAGGTGGGGGGACGGGGTGGGTTGGGGGAGGGCGAGGGGGAGAGAGAGAGACGCGGCCGTTAGGGGGAGGGGGCGCTGTCCTGACTCGCCGCCGCCGCCGCCGCGGCTGCAACATCTGAAAGTCCTTTTCTGCCCAAGAAGGAAGCGGCGCAGTTTGGAAGCCCTGATAGGCGCCGAGAGCGCCTCCGAATCAAAGCCCGGGAGACGAGAGAAGAGAGAGGGGAAGCGAAGGGGCTGTTACTTGGCCCCCTCCCCGGACCTTGGAGGGTTCTTCCCGGACCCACCGACACAGCCTGCTGTCCCCCTACTGAGAAAACAGCCTCAGAGCCCCGACTCCCGACTCCACGGACTCAGTCTCCCCAGTCAGAGTCCTGTCCACCCCACCCAGTGCTTTCAGTCTCGACCACTGGAGAGACCAAGTCGGGTGAGGTGGGGGGAAGGGGTACAGGCACCCAACGCGGGTCTCAGAAGTGTGAAGAGAACTTGCCCCTTCGAACCTCCCCCGCCCCCCCCCAGTTTCCCCAAGGCTTATTTGGGTCCTGGTCCACCTGCCTTCCAGAGGGAATCACTGAATTCCCTGCGGGGGGTGGGGGGGTGCCAGCCTCTTCCTCCTTCCTGGATGTTTGCTTTCGCTGCCCAGATCCCCTCCCAGGGAGAGACTGGCTGGGGAGCTTGCCACTCTCAGTGTGCAAATTGTGCATTGCACAACTCCAGGGGGCGCCATTTGTTTTGTAGTTATTGTAGATTTGTACAGCCGTTGTGACAGTTTTCCAGCAGTCAGCAATCAAGGGTTTTGAGGAAGGGGTGCCTTTTTCTTTTATTTATTTATTTATTTTTATTGGGGAATTGGGGGGATGGGAACACTGCTGGGGAATTGAGGGAAGGGGAACAGACAAGTTGCTGTCGTTTTGTTCTTCAATCTAGTTGTGGAGGATGTCGCTTCACTGGCCCAAGTTGGCACCATCATTGCGCTCTTCCCGGGCAAGGCAGACCAGTCACCGGCTTCTGGAAGGCTGCTCACAGCGGCTGCTAGCCACACACAGTAGCCCATGGCAACCCACTGCCACAGGGGCTGCAGCCTACGCCGTCGCAGGTGACTCATGGCAGCCCAGCTCCAGGTTGAGCTGTTGTTCAGCATCTTAGCTGTAGAGGGCAGTGTCACCGGCCCTCACATGTGGGATCCGAACCAGGGCCCTCTGGCGTCCCAAGCCAGTTCTTAACCATCGCGCCACTCGGCCGGCAGGGCGGGGGAGGGGGGGGGCTTTTTCTAATTCACGCAGTGTTGCTTTTGGGGTTGGCTAGGCCCTCGGTGAGATCCTATTGGTGCCTGTATTTCCCACCCCTGTCTCAATCCTGCTGATTGGGAGGGGCCTGAGGGTAGCATCTGGAGCAGGGACCCATTTCCTAGCTTCTCTCTCAGGTCCTCCTAATACCCATCCTCCCCAACAAAGGCTTCTGCTCTTCTGCACCTGGCCTCAGGGTAAGGACACCTGTCCAGGCATAATGGGTGACCACTGTGGAATTTTGTTGGCTTGGCCTACAAAGCTGCAGGGCTGCCAAGTTGAAGCACAGATCAGAGTCCCTCTCTCTGCCTCCTCTCCCACAGCAGGGGTCTTTCAGCCTCACAGGGATTGGGCCACCTCATACTTTTTTCCCAGTGCAGTCTGTCCAGGTGATAGGAGGAGCTGGAAGCAACCTGTAGGGACAGAACCAAAAGTTGCAAACTGAGGGCACCTACTGGCAACCATCAAGACTGCAGAAGGGCTGGAGAGTTAGGGCCAGAGACAAGATTATTCTCTCCATGACATCTCACAGACGAACCAGGGTCTCTTCTGCCCCATCTACCTTGAAGAAGGGCAAACAAAGCCAGGTTCCTCAAGTCCCTGGGGAAACCCAGCCTGTCCCTGATTCAGAAAACTGCCCCAAGCCCTCTCTCTTTCGCCATCATACTGGACCCAGTTCTGCCATCAACTTATTGCATGAACTTGGGCATCATTCCTTGGCGCTTGAATGTCCCTAACTGTAAAACGGAGGTAGGCCTCTTCCACCTATCCTACCTCTTAAGCGCTTGTGAGAATAAAATGGGCCCAGGAAGGATGGGTCTGATCCCTATGCCAGACTTGTCCCCTAGACAGCAAACCTGGGAGGGATAAAGGTGCTGGGACCTGGAGGAAGGCGAGCAGGAGTGGCTGAACTTGAAGCCTAGAGAAGCTCCTGGGAAGGAAGCACGAGTGTAGGTGAGCCTGGGGACCTGGAAAGGTTTCCAGGTAAGTCAGATGCTCACACCTGTACCCCAGCACTGCCTTGATCCATTCTCTAGCGCCCCCCACCATCACTGTCTGGGATAATCCCAAGGAGGCAGGAAAATGGACATGAGGCGGCCTTCCAAGCACATCCCCACCATTCATGCAACACACACTTACTGAACACCTACTGTGCGCAGGCTTTGTGCTACACACAGAGGATACAGAGATGGCCGGCACCACTCTCGGCCCTCAAGGTGCTCACTGCCTAGTAAGGGGAGACAGGCACATAAATAAAAAAGTGTGCAGTCTTGACTGACTTAAAAAAAAAAGTGTGCAGGTGCCCTGGGGGTGTTTATATGGGGCACAGTGGGGACCCAGAGGCACAACTGTTCAGTTCTACATCCACAGCATGAAAAGACTTCATGGGGGAGGTGAATCTTGAGCCAATGTGACATCGTCTTCCATGAGAGCATCAGGCTGACCTGGATTCTAAGCCTAGCTTTGCCACTGGACTCACTGGGGAACCTGAAACAAGTGTCTTAAGTTCTTTGAGCTTCACAGCCCTTACCTGGAAAATGGGACTTTGCAGTTAGAAAGAAAGAAGGGTGGGAGGAGAGAGAGAAAGAGCAGACTGTGCAAAGTGCCCAGCACACAGTAGGCACCATGTGTTTGTTTCCTCCTAATCCTCCCTCCTAAATACTCTAGTTTCTCCATATGGCTGGAGATCCCCTGATAGCAGGACCTGCGTCTCCCCCACTGCACTGGCAGCTCCCAGAGGACTGGGTTTAGTTTAGGACTGAGAGAGGCTGTCTACAAAGGGCATGGGATGTGGAGTCAGAGGGCCTGGGTTCAAGCTGCTTATGCTGGACATGGTTGTAAGTGCTTCACGCATATGCACTTCACAACAACCTCATGAAGTCGGTGCCATTATTATCACTATTATTAGTAGTAGTTTCAGGTGTGTAAAACAATAAAATGATTAAACATTTCACCCCTCACAAAGTGATAACCCCAACAAGTCTACTACCCGTCTGACACTGAACATAGCTATTATAATACCACTGACTATATTCCCTATGCTGTACTTTACATCCTGTAACTATATATATATTTTTTTGAGTTGACATTCAATATTATTTTATATTAGTTTTAGGTGTACAGCGCAGTGGTTAGGCATTTATATAATTTATGAAGTGATCCCCTGATAAGTCTAGTGCCCATCTGACACCATACAGTTTTTACAACATTATTGATTATATTTCCCATATTGCATTTCACATCCCCGTGACTATTATGACTACCAATTTGTACTTCCTAATCCCTTCGCCTTTCTCACCCATCTCCCCAGCCCCATCACCCCCTTTTTAAGACAGGAAAACTGAGGTATGTAACAGAGAGGTATGTAACTTACTAAAGGTCACACAGCAAGTAAGTGGAAGAACAGGGATGTGAACCCAGGCAGCCTGGCTCCAGAATCTGTATGATTAACCTCTATGTTATACTGCCTTCCAAAACAGCTGTCATGAGCATTCTAAACAAGTGACAAGGACAAAAGACTATGGTGCATAGTGCAAGCTGGGTGCAGGGGATCAGAGCAGAGATGACACTGACCCAGGCCTCCCCATAACTTTGGCTGCCCAGCCCCTCTCTGGCTTCCCTCACTGCCCACATTGCGTAGGGAGCTGCTTCCCTCCATGTCAGCTGATGTCCAGGCCCCAGGTACAGCATCCTCCACAGTCATCCCAGGTGTGTGGGCTGAGCAATGGCACATCAGTATGGCTGCCTCCTTGCCCAGCAGGGCCCCACACTTGGAGAGACCAGATCAAGAGAGTGAGGATCTCCATAGAGACCCCACAATGCAGAGAGAGGTCTGGTCCAGGAGTTCTTCCCTTAGGATGTGCGGCTCCAGAAGTAAACACCCAGGCAGGGGAAAGGGGTGGGGAGAGGAGAGTCCATCTGCAGCTGGGCTGGCCAGGATCCAGTTTCATATCTCCTGAGCAACCAGCTCTGCCCCTTGCCAGCTTCGTGGCCACTTCCCTTTCCTCAGCTTCAGTTTAACCATCTGTAAAATGGGGAAGGGAAACTCATTGAATTGTGAAGCCCCTTTCAGCTTGGGCAGTTTAGGAAATCTAGAACCTCTGGAGCCCTTTTGCATGATCCTAAGCCCAATACTGGCATGGCTCCAAATCCTCCAGAGTTGGCACTGTTTCCAAGTCGATTGGCACTGACGGAATCTCTCATTGCCCAAAGCCTGGGCAGGAGACAAGCCAAGCGAATGATGTTGGGTCCTGTGAGAGCTCTGTCACCACCCAGAGAGGTGACAAGGCTCACTCAAGGTAACACAGCTAGTAAGTAATTGAGTCAAGACTTCAGGCAAATATATTTACTGCCTGCTGTGGACTTAGCCCCCTGGACCATGCTGCCTGTGCTGCCAGAGCATCACCAGCGAGCCATGGTCTGCGGACTCAGGGAAGGTATGGTCAATGGGAGAATCTATGCAGAGGACACTTGCAAAAGTAGAGACACAGAGGTGACTCTGGGCAGAGAGAGACAGATATTACAGTGGGAAAATCATTTGCCATGCCTCGCCTGACAACTGTTAAGTCAAAGAGCAAGGTTCTTGCTTGCCAGGTGCCTCTTGGTCTGACAGATCAGAAGCCCAGAATCAGAGCAGACCCCATGTCCTTCCCCCACACTCCCTGGAGT